GAAAATCAAAATATAGATAGATAGATAGATAGATAACTTTTATTGCTAAAATACAAGTATCTGTGTACAAAACGAGTTTACAATTACTAATTGAACAGTACAAGTATAAAGCAATTAGGTGGAAAATAGCTATTGGCTGTTTTGATTATTTTTTCCACCTAATTTCAATAATGATAACACATTTCAACTAAAATAGATTTAAGGAGAACTATTAGAGATCAGGGTGCGATTTTATTTCCTGGTCCTTCTGACAATCTCATGGTTATTGTGATCATTGTGAACGAAACACATAAATCTTGAAAAGACAATATGAAGTGTTCAATCTGTTTATTATTTTAATCAATGTATGGTCCTGAATAAAACTTATCTTAAATTTTAACTGAACCTTCATCAGGGAGTAAGGAATAGAAGGGAGATATAACTGACGCGGTTCGCCCTACCATATGATTATACATGCTTTTCAGATGGGTACTTCATTTGTATAAGAAGTATTTGTCTTGTCTGATGTACATTTACTGCGTATACAATAACCTATTCTGAATATTTCATATACAAATGGAGAACCCGTCTGCAAAGCATGTATAATCATATGGTAGGCTACATACTTCACTTACTTACTGCGAAAGCGTACTGCATATTTGTTTATTATAAGGAGATTCTGGTCTAACCTATAGTATATCATTATTAGCAAGGTTATATTGTAAGGAAAGTTAATTGCAGTTGCGTATACTCTGCGTACATATTGAAACCAGTCATCTCTGGGCGGAATTTGTAAAAATAATAGATGCATCAGTGTTCGTTTAGTATCCGAGGAGGTTAAAAGCATTAGATTTTGATAATTTTGATAATTCACATAATAGTTTCCTATGACCAGAATATTCCTGATTTTATGTGTGAAAGATGGATCACTCACGTGTTTGTTTACATTCCTCCCACAATGAACAGTACACAATTTGCGTATATCTGAATTGTGCTTTCCTGCATATAGTTCCTTGGAAGGAATGAAAGCTTGAGGTTGGATATAGTCAGTTTAACATGCACGAACAATTCAGTCCTAATTGATGTTGGATTTCATACAGTCAAGTTCAAATGTAAAGAGACGTCGGAAGAAATAATAAATGTCGTCTTGACAATTTTTTAATGGTTTTTTTTACTTTTAAACCTAAGGCAATTGTAAAAATAATAAAAAAGCCATATAACAGATCCATATAATTATACAATTTAAAAATCAAATATATGTAGCATTCCATCATAGATTAATTAAAATAACAGATGTCGTCTTTTCAAGAATACGATGCAACTCGAGGCAGCAGCGCAGAGGAGCTTTCGAGCAGTCTGCGTATAATTAGAAGACAGAAAGAGCCTGGCCTACGTTAACTGCGCGAAACTCCTCTGGGCTGCTGCCTCAGGGTTATTGTGAACGAGTTAAATTTAAATGTTGAAAAGACGACATATAGTGTTCTATCTGTTAGTTTAATTAATCTATGCATTCCATTATCAGTAAGTTAAGAATACGACATTTAATGAATTCTTTCGATGTCTCAAATCTCTGGGGGGTCAAACTGTAGTTTTTTCATTTCATTGTTTTAAATTAAGGCTGAGTTGTTCATTTTCATCTAAAAGTCTCAAAAAATACTTATTTAATATGAAAATAACAAATGGTTTTCAGAATTAATACATATTTTTTTTAACTTTTATTTTAATTTTCTTTGCATTTTGTTGGCATTGCTAAAGGACATTAAATAACCCATTGCTAAAGGACATTAAATAACCCAATTTCTTTTTGTTAACACGTCATCAGCCTAGGATGATCATTTTAGGTACTTTTAAACTGAAGGTTTTAACAACTGTTTGAGAAGAAGTTTCTCTGCCTGAGTCTTTTGATCCTAAACAGTTTCTTAATTGAAATTAGAGCTAGGATGTATATGTTGTTGCAGAAAAATAATACCCTGTCTGCAATAGCAGGAAATTTAAAGTGATTCTGTATATGTGGTTTTAAAATGAAACAAGAATAACTGAACAAACATCAAAAATTAATATTTGTAAACAAACATAAATAAGGAATACATAAAAAATATTCTGTTGACAATTATTAACCAGACAAAATTTTCATACAACATATGTATAGTATTCACCCGTCTACAAGCCGATGATGAAAATTATTTCTAGGGTCGACTACGAAAGTAGATCTAAAATCAATTGATAATTAATATTTGAAATGTTGGGATCTTTAAAGATTTTTTGTTGAACCTTCTAAAAATAATAAAAAACTAACTCAGCTATTGTCTATCATTATACTTGTGAAAGGCTAAATCTATGAGGTTTATTCACAAACGATGAGACTTCAGAAATTTCTTCAGATTATTTTCTGAAATTCTTGTCATCCGGGAAGTCTGCATGCAACTATAAACTTGATAATTTCTCTGCAAAATCTTTAAATTTACCATGGAAAAACTATTAAAGACCAGATTTAACAATTAGATCAGTAAACAGGGTTACCCACAAAGAATAAGACTCTAATAACGATTTAAACTCTTAAAATACGACAAGCTATAGGTTGATTTTATTCCAATATGTTGAATATGTTCTATAATGTTGATTTTATTCCAATATGTTGTTGATTTTATTCCAATATGTTGAATATGTTCTATAACGGTTCTATAATGTTGATTTTATTCCAATATGTTGAATATGTTCTATAATGTTGATTTTATTCCAATATGTTGAATATGTTCTATAATGTTGATTTTATTCCAATATGTTTAATATGTTCTATAACGGTTCTATAATGTTGATTTTATTCCAATATGTTGAATATGTTCTATAATGTTGATTGTATTCCAATATGTTTAAAATGTTCTATAATGTTGATTTTATTCCAATATGTTGAATAAAATGAGATAGATAGAAAGATAGATGTTACCGCCATACTATTTCTATTGGTTCAGAATAGACAACAAACACATGACTGAACCCTGATTGGATCAGGCGCTAATGGACTCGGCATACAGGAATTTACAATCTGTTTAATTTGTATACTGTTTCCAATATGTTTAATCTGTAAACTGTTTCCAATCTGTTTAATCTGTATACTGTTTCAAATCTGTTTAATTTCCAATCTGTTTAATCTGTAAACTGTTTCCAATCTGTTTAATTTGTATACTGTTTCCAATATGTTTAATCTGTAAACTGTTTCCAATCTGTTTAATCTGTATACTGTTTCCAATCTGTTTAATCTGTATACCGTTTCCAATCTGTTTAATTTGTATACTGTTTCCAATATGTTTAATCTGTAAACAGTTTCCAATCTGTTTAATCTGTATACTGTTTCCAATCTGTTTAATTTCCATACTGTTTCCAATTTGTTTAATTTGTATACTGTTTCCAATATGTTTAATCTGTAAACTGTTTTCAATCTGTTTAATCTGTATACTGTTTCAAATCTGTTTCATTTCCAATCTGTTTAATCTGTAAACTGTTTCCAATCTGTTTAATCTGTATACTGTTTCCAATCTGTTTAATCTGTAAACTGTTTCCAATCTGTTTAATCTGTGTACCATTTCCAATCTGTTTGATCTGTATACTGTTTCCAATCTGTTTAATCTGTATACTGTTTCCAATCTGTTTAATCTGTATACTGTTTCCAATCTGTCTAATCTGTTTAATGTTTCCAATCTGTCTAATTTGTATACTGTTTCCAATCTGTTTAATCTGTATACTGTTTCCAATCTGCTTAATCTGTATACTGTTTCCAATCTGTTTAATCTGTATACTGTTTCTAATCTGTTAAATCTGTATACTGTTTCCAATCTGTTTAATCTATATACTGCTTCCAATCTGTTTAATCTGTATACTGTTTCCAATCTGTTTAATCTGTATACTGTTTCCAATCTTTTTAATCTGTATACTGTTTCCAATCTGTTTAATCTGTATACTGTTTCCAATCTGTTTAATCTGTATACTGTTTCCAATCTGTTTAATCTGTATACTGTTTCCAATCTTTTTAATCTGTATACTGTTTCCAATCTGTTTAATCTGTATACTGTTTCCAATCTGTTTAATCTGTATACTGTTTCCAATCTGTTTAATCTGTATACTGTTTCCAATCTGTTTAATCTGTATACTGTTTCCAATCTGTTTAATCTGTATACTGTTTCCAATCTGTTTAATCTGTATACTGTTTCCAATCTGTTTAATCTGTAATGTTTTCCATCTGCTTTGTTTTTAAATCTGAGTTCTCAGATTCATAGAATTTTAAATTAATTGAAATCAAAATACGAATAAAATTTGAAAATATGAAAATTTCGGGTTTTAGTTTTTAACTACAGTTAAACTCTAAATAAGCCATACATCGAAAGAATTCATCAAATGTCGTATTCTTCACTTTCTGATAATGGAATGTTGCAGATATTAAGTTTTTATTTAAATTATTATATGGAACTCTTTAAAACTGTTCCCGCATATAACTTGGCTATTTATATATTTTCGCAAATACTGAGATTTACGTAAAATAGTATAAAACCTATTGAAAAATTATCAAGACGACATTTTATAAATTCTGTTGATGTATGGCTCATTTAGGGTTTAACTGTATTTTATTCTCATGAGACTTTCCTATCAAGTGACTGTTATAACTAATAATAACCCAAGACATAAAAAATAATTTTTGTATATTTTTCCAAAAATCATATAAAACCATATTATATATCAAAAGTTAATAGGACAGATGTAGATAATTATACAAACTGTGAATAAATATGACAATGGACATAATACAATTTTAAAGATTAAAAGATCAACTTTTTTATAGAAAACTTGGAAACAACTTTTCCTTATCAAGTTAATAACAATAACTTTACGTCAGTAAGTTAGTAACTAGACTTATCAAGTTAATAACAATAGTCAGTAAGTTAGTAACTAGACTTATCAAGTTAATAACAATACCTTTACATCAGTAAGTTAGTAACTAGACTTATCAAGTTAATAACAATAACTTTACGTCAGTAAGTTAGTAACTAGACTTAAAGCCAACATTTTTGAATTAATAACTTTTTAAACATTTAAAAATATCTTGAGGTTTAGGCCGCCACGTTAGTCTAACTTCACATTGTTGCATGATCTGAACCATTTAACAATATCTTGAAGTTTAGGCCGCCACGTTGTTGCATGATCCGAACTGGCACAAGGATTTACCGGTCTAGCGTAATCGTGCCACATACACATTTACTCGTATCAGCCTGTGTAGTGGACTCAGCGCGTTTTATGCAGAAACTGTTATGAGCTTGTTGGAGTGATGTGACTTTCTGATCTGGTATTCACTTTACCAATAATTGCTGATAATATTCAGTAAAGTTGATTAAAAAATCCCAAGAAAATAATAACAATGATAAGTTACACTAGAATCTTCCTAGTAGGGAACCAGTTTATGGTGTACTGTTCGGTTTACCTTATGTAGTCTGTATGTGTACTGTACAGCTTGCTCTAAATGATTAAAAGTCGGCCAGATACTTGAAATGAAAAGTTACAGTGATCACTTTCTAAAAAGTTAGAATGTCACTTCTCAAGAATTGAACTGCAATTTACACAAAGTTTCAATTACAAATATCATGTAGCTATTGATTCTCGTGAATTAGATGCTTAATTGATAATTTTCTTAAGTTCTCAAGTAGGGTAAGTTCCACATGATTTTGAAATATATTTCGGTCTGGGTTTACCCTCGTCAGTTCTTGAGATTGTTTCAGGAAGATTCAAAACAAATACAAAATATTTCTATAGAATATTACCCCATCAGTTTGATTTAGGGAGTTCAGGCCTTGGATAAAAAAGACGTATGGTTATACTGAATTTAGAACACCATGCCCCTACATAACAAATGTTTCTCTCCTGCGACCACATAAAAAATTGACCATGCTGCTGCAGTTCTCTTATCTGAGTAAACACTATAACACCTCCCTCCTCTAGATCATCTAGCTGACTATACAGATCATCTAGAGAAGATGGAACATCATCTGTATAGGCTATCTGGAACCTGCCTTGTTTCATTTCTTCTTTGAAAAGTTGCACATCACTTCTCAAGAATTGAACTGCAATTCACACAAAGTTTCAATCACAAATTTCATGTAACTATTGATTCTCGTGAATTAGATGCTTAATTGATAATTTTCTTAGGTTTTCAAGTGGGGTGGGTTCCACATGATTTTGAAATATATTTTGGTCTGGGTTTACCCTCGTCAGTTCTTGAGATTGTTTCTGTCAGGAAGATTCAAAACAAATACAAAATCTTTCTATAGAATATTACACCATCTGTTTGATCTAGGGATTTCAGGCCTTGGACCATGAAACTGTATGTTTATAGCGGATTTTGAACACCATGCCATTGCATAACAAAAGTTTCTCCTCTGCGACCAGATATAAAGTTGACCACGTTGCTGTTTTCTTGTCTGAGTATACACTATAACACCTCCCTCCTCTAGACCATCCAGCTGACTATACAGATCATCTGGAGAAGATGGAACATCATCTGTATAGGCTATCTGGAACCTGCCTTGTTTCATTTCTTCTTTGAAAAGTTGCACTTCAGTACTAGATAAATCTTCATCAAGACAAACAACATGTTTAGTATCAAACATGTCCAAGGTTTCTTTCAGTTTCTTGAAGGGAGCAGGATCTTCTCTTAATCCTAGTATTCCGGAAACTCCTGGACCAATGTTATACACCCCTACACTGTTCTCTGGGAAACAAAGGATAACATCTGTGGAACATCGTAATGATGTTAGACCAGCATCATTAACGTTATCAGCAAAATATAGAAATGAGTGGGATTCTACTCCTCTAAGTTGAATGCAGGGTACCAATAAGCATCCTGCTTCAGCTACAAGGAAAGACTCGAGGTTAACAGCTTGATCAGCTCTCAAATATTCAAATAGTTTAATGCCTACAGTACCCAACTCCTGGATAAACAGATTTCTGTCAAACTCTTCTTTATAACTGCAAACCAACTTGATCCATTGTTTACTTGTAACAGTCTTCAGACATTGTTGGTAGAAATCAGGGTGATTGAAATTCCCCTTCAGCAGAACAGGAGCAGGACCTTCAACAGTCAATGGAATACAATGCGTGAAAGTAGTATATCCCAAATCCTTATGATGCTGAACTATTCCTGTTGTATTCCGCATTACACTGTGTAATGCATGTTCACTAAACTCTTCCTTCCCAATCACTCCTTCAACAGGTCTATTATTGTTTGAGTCTAATAAATCAGGATGCATAGAAATGACAAGGTTCTCTACTGGAAGAATAAAGTACTGATCAAGGTTCAGGAAACCTTGTGTCTCCTCATCTAGATATTGACGCCGTTTACATTCTTTATATTCTCGGTGTACAGGAATTCCGTCACCAAACTCGTCCAGGAGCACTAGTCCTCTCTTCTTTCCCGCCATCTCTACAACATTAACAAATCAATATTATTTGTACTACACATCAAACTTTAACATTTTCAAGAAAAGGGTAATTAGTTGGGCTTTGTGAGACGAAAATACTTATTTTCAAACCGTAATAAACTAATTTTTTCAGTTAATATATAATGACATTTCTACAAAGTCCATATCAGATATATATGACATTTCTAAAAAGTCCATATCAGATATAAAATGAAATTTATACAAAGTCCATATCAGATATAAAATGACATTTCTACAAAGTCCATATATACATTTCTACAAAGTCCATATCAGATATATATGACATTTCTACAAAGTCCATATCAGATATATAATGACATTTCTACAAAGTCCATATCAGATATATAATGACATTTATACAAAGTCCATATCAGATATATAATGACATTTCTACAAAGTCCATATCAAATAATTATATTTCTAAAAGTCCATATCAGATATATAATGACATTTCTACAAAGTCCATATCAGATATATANTTTCAACACTAATAATCAATGTTATTTCATTTTCAACCGTTTAGATACTCCCAATTAAGAGTCAATATTTTTAAACTTTGCTTTTATTTCTCATTTCATACTATTATTCAATAAAGTTACCGAATATCCCTTTATTTCTTTTATTTGTGTCAACAGATATATAATGACATTTCTACAAAGTCCATATCAGATATATATATTTCTACAAAGTCCATATCAGATATAAAATGACATTTCTACAAAGTCCATATCAGATTCAGTACCAATAACAAAATACAAAATTGCGTACACAGGGGGAGGGGCAATTTTGGGCAAAGGTCAAAATCGGGTATGTTAGTTAAAACTAATGATAATCTTCAAGAGACTACTCAGGACTATACAGAGGTATACATTATTATATATAGTTCTTGAATGCGGCTTTAAATACTAAAACAGCAATTTAAAGGGGGTGAGTGTGAGATTTGAAAATTTAATTTTAGAAGAAAAAATGTTAGTGTAGTGATTTTAGTGATAGATAAATTTCCTGTACCTTCCCGTGCCTTACTTTACCTTCTTTTACCTTCCTTCCTTACCGTACCATCAAATACCTTCCTGTACCTTTCTACACCTTCCCGCATTTAATTTTAGAAAAAAAAATGTTAACTTTCTTAACCCTGGTATCCGTGCATTGCAGTGCAGTGATTTTAGTGAAAGTTGAATTTCAGAAGAAATTTTTAAAATTTGTTATAGCTCTGGTATTTACCTTCCCGTACTTTACCTTGCTTTTCCTTCCTGTACCTTCCCCTGCCTTACTTTACCTTCTTTTAACCTTCCTTTACCTTACCGTACCTTCAAATACCTTCCTGTACCTTTCTACACCTTCCCGCACTTTCCAGTACCTTCCCGTACCTTCTTTTACCTTGCTGTACCTTCTTTTACCTTCCTGTACCTTACCATACCTTCCTATAACTTCCAATACCTTCCTGCACATTCCCATACCTTCCTATACCTTCCCGTACTTTCCTTTACTTTACCGTACCTTCCCATGCCTTCCAGTACCTTTTTAAACCTTCCTGTACCTTTCTAAACCTTTCTATACCTTCCCGTACTTTCTTATACTTTCCAATACCTCACCGTACCTCCTCATACTTTCCAATACCTTCCCATACCTTCTCATACCGTTCACGAGTAAAATGTTAAACTTTTTTCTCTGAAATTCATATCTGAGTACCACAAAAGTTTAAACTTTTCTCTTGAAATTCAATATTTAAATTTCACTACCAAGCAATATCTACCATGTATTGTTTATTAACAATATTCAACTATTTAAGCATCTACTCCCTATTTTTATAAAGATTTATTTAAACTTGTTAAAACAAACGTAGTTTTAAATTTCTTTAACTTAATTTTATCCAAAAACAAATTTTATAATCATACATTATATTAGTTATATATATGCATATTTTTAGAAGATTAAATAGTTTTATTTTAAGTTTGAAAAAAGTCTTACGCACAAACGTAATGATTTAACTTATATTATTTATAAATATGTAACTTTTTGTTCTATTATAATTACAAAAACCTCAAGATTAAAATTCAAATAGTTATACACTAGTTCGAGAGATTACTTTAAAATATGGCAAATGTTGTATAAATTTCCAAAATCCCACCCATACCATTCTAAACCTTCCAATACCTTCTTTAAACCTTCCCATACCTGATCGTACCTTCCCAAACCTTCCTAAACCTTCTTATACCTTCCCATACCTTCTTTCTACCTTCCTATACCTTCCCATACCTTCCTATACCTTCCTAAACCTTCTTATACCTTCCCATACCTTCCCATACCTTCTTTATACCTTCTTATACCTTCCCAAACCTTCTTGTACCTTCCAAAACCTTCTAATATAACATCTAGCTGACTATACAGATCATCTGGAGAAGATGGAACATCATCTGTATAGGCTATCTGGAACCTGCTTTGTTTCATTTCTTCTTTGAAAAGTTGCACTTCAGTACTAGATAAATCTTCATCAAGAATAACAACATGTTTAGTATCAAACATGTCCAAGGTTTCTTTCAGTTTCTTGAAGGGAGCAGGATCTTCTCTTAATCCTTGTATTCTGCAAACTCCTGGACTTGCAATGTTATACACGTGTACACTGTTCTCTGGGAAACAAAGGATAATATCTGCGGAACATCGTAATAATGCAAGACCAGCATCATTAACGGTATCAGCAAAACATAGAATTGAGTGGGATTCTACTCCTCTGAGTTGAGTACGGGATACCAATAAGCATCCTGCTTCAGCTACAAGGAAAGAATCAAGGTTAACAGCTTGATCAGCTCTCAAATATTCAAATAGTTTAATGCCTGCAGTACCCAACTCCTGGATAAACAGCTTTGTGTCAAACTTTCCATTATAACTGCAAACAAACTTGATCCATTGTTTATTACTTGTAACAGTCTTCAAACATTGTTGGTAGAAATCAGGGTGATTGAAATTCCCCTTCAGCAGAACAGGAGCAGGACCTTCAACAGTCAATGGAATACAATTCTTGAAATCAGAATATCCCAAATCCTTATGATGCTGAACTATTCCTGCTGTATTCCGCATTACACGGTGTAATGCATGTTTACTAAACTCATTCTTCCCAATCACTCCTTCAACAGGTCTATTATGGGTCGAGTCTAATAAATCAGGATGCATAGAAATGACAAGGTTCTCTACTGGGAGAATAAAGTACTGATCAAGGTTCAGGAAACCTTGTGTCTCCTCATCTAGATATTCACGCAATTTACACTCTTTATATCCTTCGTGTTTAGGATATCCGTCACCAAACTCGTCCAGGATCACTAGTCCTCTCTTCTTTCCCACCATCTCTACAACATTAACAAATCAATATTATTTGTGCTACACATCAAACTTTAACATTTTCAAGAAAAAGGTAATTAGTTGGGCTTTGTGAGATAAAAATACTTATTTTCAAACCGTAAAAAACTAAGAACAAAAAAGTATTTAAAACATTTTTAACATGAGAAAACTTAAAAAAACAATTTGTCAATTTGTACTTTTAGATGTTCGCTTCAAAATTAACCCAAACAAGTCACAAATATATATATATATAATTTTACTAATTATATGTCAAATATATTATTATTATTGTAGAACATATATACAAGGAAAATTTGAACATATTTATTGAAAATTAGATTAAAATTGGAATTATCATTTTGTGCAGAGGACATACATTTAACCAAGATATAGTTTGTTGATGGTTGAATCAACCCAGAAAGAAAAAAGAAAATGTAAACCATTTTTTCAGTTAAAAACAGGAAAAACTCCAACTGGTAGAAATGTCCAATCCTTGTATTCTTCTCTTCCAATGAACTCAATAAGTTTGTTATAACAATGTTCACCATGTACTGCTTGGTCCTCCCACTCCGTGTTTCCCTTGAACCCTGCTTTAACCTCTACGAAGCAAAACATCTTGTATTCCGCCAAAATAAAGATAAAGTCGAACTCCTTGTTGTCAAGTTTATTTGGGTCTTTAACTTTGGGAGTTTTGTTAGTTTTACCTTTGGAAGCATTGCTTGCATTGGGAGCTTGGGATTTTACAGGTTCGTTAGATTTTCCCTTGGTAGTTAGGCTGGCATCAGATGCTTGAGTTTTGTCGGGACCAGATACTTTATCTTTTGGAGCACCAGATATTTCAACTTTGTCGGCACCAGATATTTCAACTTTGTCAGCATCAGATACTTCAACTTTGTCGGCACTAGATACTTCAACTTTATCAGCACCAGATACTTCAACTTTGCAGCATCAGATACTTCAACTTTATCGGCACCAGAAGTAAAGCGAAGAAACATATTTTGGTCAAAGCTGTGAAACATGGCGGTACGGATTTTAATTTCTTCTTGTGTTTTAATCAGATAATCCCAGATTATTCTCTCACACTCCGCTCCTTCATAGTTTCCGATAAATCCTCCAAATTTTTCAGAATCAGCCTTGTTCAGGTGTTTACGACCATGATCTTTTAATTCTTGTACTGAATGTTTAGGAATCTCGGGATTTATTCCAAATCTTATTTTTTCCTCTGGAAATCTGACATTTTCTTTTTCCAGGTTTATGGTTAGAACATTCTTCAC